AGTGTGAGCCCCACATGGTCTTTTCTGGTTCCATACAAATTTTAGGATTGTTTATTCTAGCTCTGTGAAGAATGCTGTTCTTCTAATAGGAATTGCATTGAATGTGTAGATTGCTTTGGGTACTATTGACTTAACAATATTTCTTTTTCCTATCCAGGAGCATGGAATATTTTTCCTTTTTTGTGTGTGTGCCTTCTTCAAACAATGTTTTCAGAAGTAGATTCCTTAATGCCCCTTACCCATTTAGCCCACTCCCCCTCCCACAACCCCTCCAGTGACCCTTTGTTTGTTCTCCATATTTAGGAGTCTCTTATGTTTTGTCCCCCTCCCTGCTTTTACATTGTTTTTTCTTCCCTTCCCTTATGTTCATCTGTTCTGTGTCTTAAAGTCCTCATACGAATGAAGTCATATGATATTTGTCTTTCTCTGGCTAATTTCACTTAGCATAATACCCTCTAGTTCCATCCACATAGTTGCAAATGCCAAGATTTGAAGCTCTCTCTAGTTTTTGGTGTATAGATTCTTCACCTCTTCGGTTAGATTTATTCCTGAGGTATTTTATGGGTTTTGGTGCAATTATAAATGGGATCGATTCCTTGATTTCTCTTTCTGTTGCTTCACTGGTGGTGTATAGGAATTCAACCGATTTCTGTGCATTGATTTTATATCCTGCCACTTTGCTGAATTCATGCATTAGTTCTAGCAGTTTTTTGGTTGAATCTTTTGGGTTTACCATATAGAGTATCATGCCATCTGTGAAGAATGGGAGTTTGACTTCCTCCTGGCCAATTTGGATGCCTTTTATTTCTTTGTGTTGTCTGATTGCTGAGGCTAAGACATCCAATACTATGTTGAATAACAAGTGGTGAGAGTGGACATCCCTCTCATGTTCCCGACCTAAAGGAGAAAATGCTCAGTTTTTCCCCATTGAGGATGATAATAGCATCTTTCATATATGGTTTTTATGATCTTGAGGTCTGATCCTTCTAGCTCTACTTTCTTAAGGGTTTTTATCAAGAAAGGATACAGTGTTCTGTCAAATGCTTTCTCTGTATCTATTGAGAGGATCATGTGGTTCTTATTCATTCTTTTACTGATGTGATGAATCACATTGATTGTTTTGCAGATATTGAACCAGCCCTGTATTCCAGGTATAAATCCCACTTGGTTGTGGTGAATAATTTTTTTAATGTATTGTTGGATCTGGTTGGCTAATATCTTGAGGATTTTTACATCCATGTTCATCAGGGAAACTGGTCTCCTTTTTAGTGGGGTCTTTGTCTGGTTTTGGAATCAAGGTAATGCTGGTTTCATAGAAAGAGTTTGGGAGTTTTCCTTCCACTTCCATTTTTTGGAACAGCTTCAAGAGATTAGGTGTTAACTCTTCCTTAAAGGTTTGGTAGAATTCCCCTGGAAAGTCATCTGGCCCTTAGATAGCCTCACTTCCAGAACTGGCCTCTGCTTCTTTTGTGTCCTGCTCTGAACAGACCCTTCAGGGGAAACCTGAATCCACTTTTGTGTTATTCTCTCTGTGTTGGATTAGATGTCACTTGTGGTGAGCAGAGTGGCGCAGCAGAAGCATGCTGAGCCCATAGAAGCCCCATGTGGACAGGCCAAGGTGTTGTCTTTGGGCAAAGCCGAGGGGATGGCATGAGCAGAGTAAACCCTCAATAAAGTCCCCTGGACTGACCAACCGAATAAATGAATGATTTGCATAAAAGGAATGTTCTTAATTCGAGTAGTGCTTGCCTAGGAGACTAAACTGAATGCCATTCTCTCCTTCAGTTGGTGTGGGAAGACCTTCAGCTTTGAGAGCCCCAGGACACAGACCCGCACAGTCTAAATGAAGACTCTTCCTTGCCCATGAGTGGTTGGACTTGCTTAATGAATGATATAGGGACTGTGACTCAGCCCTTTCTGGACAGAGCTGCTTGCCAGTCCTTCACTAGCTATGCCTTTCCCCACACAGTACCACCTGACCCTTCTTCCTCACTCATCTTCTCAGTAAGACCCTTCACCAAGTTTGTTTTCCTTCCTGACAAAAACAAACAAAACCTACAGCTTTCTTTATTTTTAAGCCTTTGTTTTTTCCTTTGACCCCATGACCAGCTGGTGAGCCCCAGGTTCTGGGGGACCTTCCATGTGTCCACTCAGTACAGAGCACTCCGCCAACCCCACACTGTATCATAGGACTGTCAGGAAAGGAGGCCCCAAACACCTGCCTCTTCTGGAGGGTTCTTAGACTTTCCTGAGATTACCTAATAAGACTCTAGAGGTCACTGAAGGAAAATAGCACTAAACATTACCGTATGCTAAAGTACTATAGTAATAGTAATGCTAGCAGACTATTCATGCTACAGCAATGGCAACTGTATAGTAATAGTAATGGCAATACTGAAGAACAGTACTAAATAGGAAAATAAGTACTAAATTTTGTGGTGACAACAATATTTTCAAAGCCTTAATAAGATTTTTTTTCTTGTTCCTGGATAATTTCTACTTCACACACAATACCTGTCTGTAGTTCATAGCCTATTCAATTAAAATTTTGAAAACAAAGATTTAATTTAAATTGTATTTAGTTAACATTCAGTGGCATATGGTTTCAGGAATAGAATTCAGTGATTCATCACTTATATACAACACCCACCCAGTGCTCATCACAACAGGCACCCTCAATACCCATCACCCATCTAGCCTATCCCCACCCACTTCTCCATCAACCCTGTTTTCTATCATTAAGAGTCTCTTGTGGTTTGTTTCCCTTTCTCTCTCATTTCCCCCTCCCATGTTTATCTGTTATGTTTCTTAAATTCCACATATGGGTGAAATCATATGGTATTGGTCTTTCTCTGATTGACTTATTTCGCTTAGCATAATTCATTCTAGCTCCATCCACATAGTTGCAAATGGCAAGATTTCATACTTTTTTTTAAAAAAATGTTATTTTTTTTGAAATGTTGAAAAAAAATTTTAAAGAAAAATTTTTAGTTTTTTTCTTTTGAGAGAAAAAAGAGAATACAAGTGAAGGAGGGGTAGAGAGAGAGGGAGGAGACAATCCTAGGGAGGCTCCATTCTGTCAATGCAGAGCCCAAGCAGGGCTCCATCTTATAAACAGTGAGATCATGACCTGAGCAAAAATCAAGAGTCAAATGCTTAACTGACTGAACCACCCAGGTGCCCCTAGATTTCATTCTTTTTGATAGCTGAGTAATATTCCTGTGTGTGTGTGTGTGTGTGTGCGCATTTTTTTAAAATGTTTTTATTTCTGAGAGAGAGAGACAGCATGAGCAGGGGAGGGTCAGAGAGAGGGAGACACAGAATCCGAAGCTGGCTCCAGGCTCTGAGCTAGCTGTCAGCATAGAGCCCGACTCAGGGCTCGAACCCATGAACCGTGAGATCATGACCTGAGCTGAAGTCGGATGCTTAACCGACTGAGCCACCCAGGTGCCCCGAGTGTGTGCACATTTTTTTAATCCATTCATCAGTCAGTGGACATTTGGGCTCTCTCTGTAGTTTGGCTATTGATGATAATGCTGCTGTAAACATTGAGGTGCATGTACTCATTCAAAAATCTGTATTTTTGTATCCTTTGGGTAAATCCGTAATAACACAATTGCCAGATCATAGGTTAGTTCTATTTTCAGTTTTTTGAGGAACTTCCATACTGTTCTCCAGAGAGGCTGCACCAGTTTGCATTCCTACCAACAGTGCAAAAGGGTTACTCTTTCTCCTCATCCTCGCCAAGACCTGTTGTTTCTTGTGTTGTTAATTTGTAGGAGGTGATAGCTCATCATGGTTTAGGATTTGTATTTCCCTGATGATGAGTAATGTTAAGCATCTTTTCATGTGTCCTTTAGCCATCTGGAGGTCTTCTTTGGAAAAGTGTCCATTCATGTCTTTTGTCTATTTCTAAACTGGATTGTTTTCTGGGTGCCGAGTTTGATAAATTCTCTACAGATTTTGGACACTAACCCTTTATCAGATATGTCATTTGAAAGTATCTTCTCCCATTCCATAGGCTTCCTTTTTGTTTTGTTGATTGTTTCCTTCACTGTGCAAAAGCTTTTGATCTTGATGAAATCCCAATAGTTCATGTTTGCTTTTGTTTCCCTTGCCTTTGACAATGCATCTAGTAAGACGTTGGACAGCTGAAGTCAGAGGTTGCTGCCTGTAGTTTCCTCTAAGACTTTGATGGTTTCTTGTCTCACATCTAGGTTTGTCATCCATTTTTAATTTATTCTTTTGTGTGGTGTAAGAAAACAGTTTAGTTTCATTCTTGTACATGTTGCCGTCCAATTTTCCCCACACCATTTGTTGAAGAGATGGTCTTTTTTCCACTGGATATTCTTTCCTGCTTTGTCTAAGATTAGTTGATCATATAGTTGTGACAACAAAGATATTAAGTGATGGTATAGCAAGAACATAGCTGGGATTTTATAGTTTCATCTTTGAAATCATACAAAGGACAAAACTATTTTGACACGTGTATTAATGTTCTATTTTAATATCAGTTATTAGTCAAGACTCTTGGTTGCAAGTGACAGAGGACTGAGGAGCCAAACCCTTGAAAGGGACACAGCTTGGCCTCAGGGAGAACCAGAAGCAGGGATTGGAGGCCATCACCCAAACATGTGATTGACGCTTCTCACTTTGAGAAGCAAAGATCTCAACTGAAGATGTCTTTGCCACTCGGGAAAAGCAGCAAGTCAGTGTGCTGATAGTGTCCTTGAAACTTGAGATGGAAAAAACAGACATGTGATCTTGACTAAAATATGTTAAAGACCTATTTACAGAAGAAACCCTGAGATTTAAAATAAAACATCTTGTAAATTGACACATATCACAAGAGCCCACTGCTGTTTCAATTTCCCTAGTTGTGAGTTGAGAGGAACAAATTGCCTCAGGCTAATTAATGCACTTGATATTGTTTGAAACAAAAATGTTATGGAAGATCCAGGTTATAACCTGTGGTATTCTTTCTGTCTTTTTCTTTGTAGGAGGTGTCAGTGAAAAAAAGGGTCCAGAATGATTACTAATCTATGACTCCCAACAGTATGACAGGTATCTCTTTTTTAAAATTTTCTTTGCATGTCTCCATTTTTTGTTCCACCTGAAAAGAAATACAAGGTTTCTAAGAGGCCAACCTAAGACTCTTCCCAACATTATTTCCCAACCATCAAGTAAGGCTAAATGCAGATATATCCTATGGATACATCCCAAACAGTGAGCTTTTATCTTCTCCAGAAACTATGAGATGCAGAAACCTATTGTGAAGAAATGATGATTTCTTGTTTTTAGCCATCCTAAGATAAATAACCCTTGCACATGAGATATGTTGCCTCTTTACATTCATTCAGGTCAGTATAAGAAATGGCTCTACATCCTTAATGACTAGAGTCTGGGCACCTTCCCCCAAATGGGCTGTTTATTCCAGTTAGCAATAGAGTCAGAATGGAATATGATTAGATTGAATCAGGTAAATGAGGTAGAAACTCTTAGCAAGGAGCAGAGGAGACAGAATGACCCCCAAGGAACATAAGGTTGCAACAGAGTGAATTCTTGGTGCAACACATAGAACAGGGGTTGCAAACTCAAAGGCCCCAGAGGCCAGGCAGATGACCCCAATGCTAGGAATGGGTTGAGTGGAAGGGAAAACAACAAACAAAACTGGGGTCCTCAGGTTCCCTCTGCAGAGAAGCCATTCTTCCTCTCCAGTGATCACGGACATAGAGTAGGGAAGAAGCCCAGAATACCCAGAGACTTCAACTTCTCAAAAGAAGTTGGCAATCCAGATTTTAAGTGACATATCCACTCCCCATAAATGTCAACAGTTAACTTATTGAAATACCAAAGACTCATGGGCCAGTCAAAATATGTCTGCTGACTACAATCAACCCCGTGGGCTGTCAGTTTATGATCTCTGCTACCTGCCTTCCAGCCTGGCACCAAGCCCACACCTGTTCTTGTGGTTACCATGACAGCAGGGCAAATACTCCTAGACCTCTGAGTGTCAGGAGTACAGCTTGACCTTTGACAATCCATTCATGTCACCTCCTCACCTAGTGGCAAACATATAGGACAAATACTCCAAGAATCCATTCCCCAGTAGACCTGAAAATTAAAGTTGCCAGTCAGCCTTCTGGAAGCTTGGAGGCCTCTTACTGACCACAACACTACCTTTCTCAGCATCACTGCCCTCCCTTTAGACCCACCTACATTGGACCTCCTGGTGCAGCAAAAAGATGGAGTACCCGAACAGACCAGAACGATTCACACGAAGTAAGAAGTGAGGGCTTCAGAACCACATCTCCTCTTTTCCTATTTTTTCTTCCTCATTAACAGGCATCAGAAAATGCCCACTCCCATTTTTATTCCACATCAACCCAGGGAAAATTCTTTCCCACTTAAATCGCACCTATTCTGTGTCATAAACCTGGTCATTCAGTGGAAAATTGGTACACATCAACCTTAGCGGTCTCCTTCATGTTTGCCAATGAGTAGGAATCTCAGCTGGAAGGAATGAAGTATAAATCCTTGCAGGCACAGGCATGTGTGAGGACGTAGAGATCGGGCAGCAGGTAGCCACACTGCCAAACCTAGGGAAAGCACCCCCGTCTGATACAGGATAGTGTGAGATCAAGTGCCACACAAGAGTGCCTCTATACTCCACGATAATTTGCCCACTAGGAAAATACTCCAGGGATGATTGGGTGGCTCAGTCGGTTAAGCATTCAACTTCAGCTCAGTTTTACAAAAATATGGAGTTTTGTGTCTGTACCTAGAGATTTCTGATTTAACTGGTCTGGAGTGGCATGGACATCAGGATCTTAAAAAACTCCTAGGATAGGGGCTCCTGGGTGGCTCAGTCGGTTCAGTGGCTGACTGGCTCAGGTCATGATCTCCCGGTTCTTGGTTCGAGCTCTGCATTGGGCTCTGTGCTGACAGCTCGGAGCCTGAAGCCTGCTTCGGATTCTGTGTCTTCTCTCTCTGCCCCTCCCCTGCTCATGCTCTGTCTCGCTCTCAAAACTAACATTAAAAAAAAAAAAAAAATAGGTAGTCTCAAAGAACATAACCTTTTGAGACATAGGAAAATGGCAAAACTTAGTGTAATGATGGACGATTTGATGGATTTCCCTTGCTATGAGGTTGGTTCCAGAGAGTCCAGAAGTGACCATCCATCCCAGATTCCTATACAGCAGGGCTCAGCAATTAAAAAAAAAAAAAAAAAACAAAAAAAACCCGGATGTAAGTATCTCTGGCAGCGCAGACTACTCAGTTCCGCCACTGTAGCATGAAAAGCCACATGCTATACATAAACGAGCTGGATGTGTTTCAACAAAACTTTATTTACAAAACAGGCTGCAGGCCCACTTTGGCCCAAGGACTGTAGCCTGTGACCCCTTGGTCCAAGATAGTCCAGACTATCTTATTGTTGAGCAGAACCCCGAAGGCCAACTCAGCTCATCTCCAGAAGGGAGCGAGGCATCTAGGCTCACGCCAGGACAGTTCTTTGAGCCAGCTTTTCAGCTGATCTTGTAGAAGCCAAGATGTTTTTTCTTGCAGAATCCGCAGGTGCCTCCCAGTGGAGGAGGGAGTTTTTGCTTCCCAGCATTTGTTTTCCAGTGTAGAAACTAACAGTAGTTCTATTTGCAAAAGAAATCTACTCCATACACACATGCTTAGTGCAGGTTAATGGACTCAGCTGAGAAAATTATCACTTTAGACTCCTTTATTTGTGGACAAAATAAAAGAGGATCCTTCCCCCCACCTCTTTTTTGCTATGAGATCAGACTACTAGATTTTAAGAAATCTAAAGTCCCTTTATTGTGAGAGACCATGGTAAAGTTGTATGTAAGTCATTGGAGCTAAGTGCTTGCTTTAGGAGCCTAATTTAAAGGGCAAAAATTCATATTTTCTTCTTTGAAAAATAGGCAATATTATTGTTATGTAGTACAGGAAGTCAGTTAACCTCTGTAAAAATAAAACCATTCTTTAAATTTTTGTTAGTGTTTTATTTATTTCTGAGAGAGAGAGAGAGAGAGCGAGCGTGAGCAGGGGAGGGTCAGAGAGCGAGGAAGACACAAATCTGAAACAGGCTCCAGACTCCGAGCTGGCTGTCAGTACAGAGCCCAACGCGGGGATCGAACCCGTGAATCGTGAGATCATGACCTGAGCCGAAATTGGACGCTCAATCCACTGAGCCACCCAGGAGCCCTAATAAAGCCATTCTTTAAATGAACAGGAATAAGAACATTGAACTTATTTTCTTAAAAGCAAGCAGACTAGCATTTTCAGATAAGAGTCATGTTGTCAGTATGCAGTCTTTTCCAGTCAGAATGCTTAATAAATTTATTTTTGCATTAACTCGCATGGAAATTTATTTTCTGCAGTTATTTAATATCAGCTACAGTGGAGTCCAGTCTTGCCATAATTTTCCGGATGCTTTACCTCATTTGAAATTAGGGCTATATGAAATCACTCATTGAAAAATACTGATTCTTAATGGAGACAGTCAGAAAGTGGCTTAATATGGTATTTTATTAATCTAGCATTAAGCACTGCTTCCTAAGTAATCTGAGGGGAATGCTGCTAACATTTATGGCATTCTAATGAGCTCTATTTTGCATAAAACCATGACTCACAGCATAGGCAAGTTTGTTACAAAATGTGAATGATAAAAGTTCAAATACCAAAGTTAGAGGGTTTTGGCCTCTAACTTTTGGTGGAAAAGAAAACCAAGAACTCAGACTCCTCTACATGTGCCTGAAGAAGCAGAAACAAGGGTCTGTTCTATTTCCATCGGACCTGGTTTTATGAACTTGGGATAGGACATGAAGTTAGTACAGTATTTGAGGTTTCCATCCAATTGGACCCCCGATCATTTAAAGTGACGGAATTAGGAATCCTTCCATGTAAATAAAACATTCCCCCGTTGCTTAAACCGCACCTCTTCTTTGCGACCTGCTTATTCATTTAACCTCCCTGTTGTGATGTTTGCCTTTTTCTTTTTCTTTCTCAAGCTACTGCTATTGAGTGTACCATATCCCACCAGGGGAGGGCCGTTAGCCAGATAGGACAGCTCCCCTTTGTCCCAATGTTTCCACTGTATGATCTTCAGATTGTTCGCTTGTTTGGGGACAGGGTCATTTGTTAAGCAAAAGAAAGAATTACATAGGTTTGAAATTTACATTTCCAGGGGCGCCTGGGTGGCTCAGTCGGTTAAGCATCCGACTTTGGCTCACGTCATGATCTCATGGTTCGTGGGTTCGAGCCCCGCATCAGGCTCTGTGCTGACTGCCAGCTCAGAGCCTGGAGCCTGTCTTCAGCTTCTGTCTCCCTCTCTTTCTGACCCTCCCCTGCTCATGTTCTCTCTCTCTCAAAAATAAAACATTAAAAAAATTTTAATTTACATTTCTAAAAAAACAATTTACATTTCTCATTACTGCTTAGGTTGACTTTTAACATGTTTATTGGCTACTTGTGTTTCTTCATAACTCACTTGTTCATATTAATGTCCACTTGCTCGTTGTGGATTTTATATTTTTCTCATTGTTTACAGAAGATTATATATTAAGGATAGTAACTAAGCATGTCACCTAATCTCTCTAGATCTTGAATTGCTGATCAATTAAATGAGAAAGGGAGACTAGTTCATCTCTCGTTTGCTACTTTTACCATACTTCACATGTAAACATTTATAAATCACACTTTCATAAGTAGAGCATGGGTACCTTGACGGTTCACTGTAAAGAAAAAGGGACCCCCTGGAGCAATGTTTTCTGTGTTTTAAACTATCCTAGTGAACAGGTTTTTCACATCGATCAAAACATTTAAGCTGGGAAAACTCAGTATTTTATGGCTACCCATGGCCTTTTCCAGGGGTGGTTCTCCAAGTGTTCTTTAGGCTTTTCACATGCTCCTTACAACCATTTCATTCCTTCAGAAAGAGAATCACAGTTGTGTTCATGTCCCACAACTAAAGAGACCATCTTCATGGAATCAGGAGGTTGTTGACAGCAAGATTAGGACACCATCCAAAGCTAATGTTAACACTGTTATTG